CTCGACTCATATATCATTATGCATTTCCGTATGTGAACGACGGTGACTTTTAATGACCCGATGACAATAGTTGTCACGGTTGTTCCGTTCATTGAGAAACTGCTCATTACTGGTCGAGCCTGTGTGTGACATGATGACGATAAGAGGCCTAATGTATTAATACATTACAGCGGGACTGACATAAAGCGGGTCTAAATATTACAAAAAATTTCGATCACTTCCAAACTTCCTCGTACAATAAACATTTATCCATCGACTGTACGGGATATTATAATAAAATATTGTAATAAAAATATTATAATAAAAATTATAGTATAATTTCTGTCATCGGATATCACATACTAGTATTTTAGATACGAAATATCACGATATTTCTATCCAACAATGTTACACAAGTGTATTATATTTGATAAGAGTATTGAAATTACTTAAATATTTTAATGCACAAACAAATACATAATTAATAAATAAAACAAAATACGCATAATTAAACTTTTATAATAATAAATGTCTTAACATCGTTATATTCCTGCTTTACAATAAATGTAAAAGAGGATGTAATTTATGCAAAATTCGCAAAAAATATTTTCCTTGTGCGATATATATTGTATTACATTTGCTCGGTCATTATATAAGAAATAATATAAAATATTCACATTGCTTATTGTATCTTTAATTCCAAATTGACTAAATTCTAATTAATTCCAATTAATAAAATAATAAAAAATTATTAAAAAAATATGAATTTCGAAGTTATAAATTCGCAGAAATTTTCAATAACACCAGATATATAAATAATATATAAGATATATAAATAATAATTGATAAAAATTATACGCATACGCCTATTTACGTTTGTGTCATTGTATATTTCATTCTAAAAACCTTTGGACGTGTATTTTTCCCCATTATCGCTTTTATCTCGTGACTGGGGGATGAAATTTATAAACTCGTCTTAGAGATCGTCTGTCACGCCGCCGTTGCGCGCGGCGTAGACTCCTCGAGGACGCGAGATACGGAACGGAGCGGTGGCCGAGAAGTGCGGCCTCATCGTAAAACGTTACGTAACACCGATAGCGCCACTCGCGCCCCGCGCTCCTGACAGCTCGGAGTAGCCGCCGCGTCTTATCGCGTCGCCGCGTCGCGCCGAGAGGATACGTGCGTCGTCGTCGCTCAAGGTCCGCGACACTCGGGATATCTTCGCGGCGGCGAAGATCCATGGGTGATGATTCGGCGAGATATCGGCAAGTGAAAAATTGACGGGCAGCGAAATCGTGAAGGGCGGACGAGGGCGGACGAGGTCGGGGCGCGAGAGCCAGATAAAGTCCGATTTCCTCTTTTTCCTTTTTTTTTTTTTCCTTTTCTCCCTCCCGATAACAATTATTATTGCGCTGCTCGCGACTCTTACGCAACTCCTCCGCCGCCTTCCTCTCTCGGCAGTAGCATTCGTGCTACTGGCCAATGACCAGGGCTAGATAACGTGCATACGTGCGACCCACTTACGGACTTGCTAATCTTGGACTATAACTCGAACTAGATTCCTCCGAGTTACTACGACCTCCTCCTGCTGCTCCTTCTCCTCCTCTATTTTCCTTTCCTCCCCTTCTTTTACGATAATTTTACACCGCAAAAATCTTATCGCGCGCGCGCTTATTTCTTCGATTTCAGCAATTTTTTTTTAATCTCGGAAAAAGAAGAGAGAGAAAGAAGAGAGAGAGAGAGATGACATTTCGAAAGGATAAATAAAAATAATCTGTGAACTTTTCTCCATAAAATACTTTTAATTATATAAAATTATATAAAATTATTTTAATTATAATATTTCAGATGAACTTGCGAAATATCTCGAAAAGGCAGTGTTTTAACATTTGGAAATCTTTTTTTTTAATTATATAATTTTTATAATTATATTTAATTGAAAAATTTTTTATTTTTTTAAATATATTCTCTAAATTTTTTATTACTTTTAACTTATTATTATTCTCAATCTTATCTACTTTTTTATCATATGATTTTTTATAGAAATTAATAATTTTATATTCATTTGTCTAATATGTTTAAAAATTTTTAAACATGCTGATATATTTCGGTAAGCAACGTAGATGTTTTGTAAAAATTATGCTATGCGACTGACTGAACATTTTTTGGAAAACTTAACAGTAGCTTCTAAATAAATCTAGTGGAAAGAAGATAATCATATGATGTAAGGATAATCAAGGATGATATATTTATTCTCTTTCTTTCTCTCTCTCTCTCCCTCTCTCCTTCTCTTCGTGTGTGAGACCTAAATATACATACTTATCTCATGTTAAATACGATATATAAAGAGGTGCGGCTAGATTTATCGCGTTATGATATCGAAACTTGTAATTTCTGGAAGATACTCTTCCGGCTTTGTATGTTAACGTAATGGAAGCTAAATAAATCCAATAGAAATGGAAAGATGCTTGGCTTCCGACGTGAATAGAATCAGATAGAGGCAAACATGAAATGAATACGTAAACGACCCAATTGCATTATAATGATAATTTATATCGCGATGATCATCATCGTCCGTGCCTTCTTTCAGAAGACAAAGCTGTTTTTTCTTCCGCATTAATATTTAATTAGAGGTAATTCTTTGAAAAATATACTATAATTCTTTGATAATCAAACATAAATGAAAATGCCACGTGCTAAGGCCGGAAGCACAAAAGTAAGTTATACACATGAGTAAAAGTTTTGTATAACCATTAATAAGAAAACTGATTGATTTATTCATTTATAGAATCTTATTCTGGAGACGATTGAAAAGAAAGAATTTTCTTTTATTTTCGCATGAAAGCCTTCTGAAAACTTTTCTACAAGGTCTATTGTGTGATATATGCGTGTGTGTGTGGGAAAATTGTCAGATTCTTCTTTTCAACTACGTATAAAAGTATTTAAAAGAAGTATTTAAAAGAATACACAAAAATCGAAAAATGTGTAAAATCGAAGGAATATTGCAGAACTCTTGTAGTGAATTTTTAATATTACAAATAAATTAACAATAAATAAAGAGACGGAGAAAGAGAGAGACAGAGTCGCGCTTATTCAAATATCTACTATAAAAGTTCCGAAAAACAAAAATTTTATTAAAATGAATCGTCAAATTGATAGAAATAAAAATATTTATCAAACTTTAATAGAAATGAAAAGCGAAGGGGGAGGAGCTTTTTAGCTTGAAGGAGAATGAATTTTCGCACGTGTTTAAACAGATGTAATATTTTACTCCCACCGGAAGTATGGCTAGTTCGACAAAAGAAAAGAATTCTTCAGTTTTCTACATCTTGCAGTCACACAACTTGCACGCTTACCTGATTGTAAAACTTTGGTAAAACTTTTATTATACTTGTGCACAGTCTTGGCAACGTTGGAATATTGTGCACGCATATATATTGTAGTATACCGAGTGTTTGAAAAATCTTGCCCATGGAAAACTTTAAAATATATTTAGACATATTTCGGGATTAAATTCGGGCTTGTGCGAATTCTTCAATCCAAAAAAAAAAAATCTATTTGCTACCTGAGAAAGCGGATTGTCAAAGGGAGAGGATATGCTCAGAAGAAGGACGGCAATAATTCTGGAGTACAAAAATTAAATCTCCAGAATAATAAAATCTCCAGAAAACTGCTGGAAACCTCTGAAATCTGCAAAAAGCGACATTCCGCGAATACGCGACGTACGTATCTTTCGATAGCGGAATGCGCGCGCTACGGGAAAAAAAAAACGAAAGAACAGCCTCGTCTACGAAAATATGACGACGCTCTCCTCGCGGGAATGAAAAAAGATCGCGCGCCAAGAGTGAAGAGCGACAGACACATGCACGCGAGTCGTGCCGACTAGGACGAGCCGAGGATCGCTTTTTTCGCGGCGTTTACAAACACGTGCTTTCCGCGGTCGAAGGATTTCGCTCGAGGGAGAGCGTCCCACTCCCTCGGACTTCGATCCTCGAACGGGGGAGGCGGGGGGGGGGCATCTCGGAGAGATATCTCCGCTGAGGCACACTCTTTTCGACGCGCTGACAAGAGAGCGAAATCTGACAGTTGGCCACGATGCGCGGCCGACTCCCTGCCGCGAGGCGAGTAAGCCCCGTAGGCGACCGGGTCCGGCCGCGAGGAAGCCCGCGCGGCGCGGCGCGCCTCTCGAGCACCACGTGCCTACGCGCCGTGGTTTATTGGTTCGCCTCGGCGCAGTGGCGTCTCCCGGCACGAAACGTACGCGCGATGGCGACAGCCCGCGTGCGCGCGTACCGAGATACCACGCGCTACTATAATATATCAAAGAAGCGTCTCTCGGACGTCAGACTCACCGATACGGTCCATCATGTGGTGAAGAGTCCCAGGCAGGAATCGGGCCCAAAATCGCGCGGCCGGCCGTTGTTTACGATCGTCGAATAGACGGACGGAGAGAGAAGGGGGAAGGAGAGCTGTCAAACAGAATTTTCATCGGTCAAAAGTCAACGAATGTCGGAACGTGTCGGCCGTGGCCGATCGTCGCCGTCGCCGTCGCCGTCGTCGACGTCGACGTTGTCATCGCCCCGCGAGTCCAGGGGACGGCCCCGAGACCCGGCCGCTCCGGACGAGGAAGCGCGGGCCTCGCAGAGCACGTGTGCCGTGCGAATTCCCTCGCGTCGGGGATTCGACGCCACGACGCGTCCATGCGGTTGGCTCTGCGCGCGCTCTTCTCCCGCGCGCGTCTTTTCGCGCGGCTTGACGGACGACGCGGCGGCGGCGGCGGCGGCGGCACGCGCTCGCAGGAAGGAAATACGCGCGACGACACTCACCGGCGTGCGATTAAGTGTATTCCGGTCCGTCCCACGCTCGCCGATCCTGCACCGATGCGTCGCTGTCGCTGTCGTTCTCGTCTCTCGCGCGCGTCCCTTCTCGCGGCTGACAGATAAACAGAGCGAATGTAACGAACGGTCCTTGCCGTCAGCGCCGAATTGACAGTTGTAGACAGGTGCGCTTCTATTCGGCGTGGCGGGAAGCTAACGTCAAGCGGCTCGTGGCGCCATCGTAGCGCCGCTCGTCTTCGGGGAGAGGGTAACGATTCGCGGGTTTACCTCGCGAGGGTACGCGTCGATAAGGCGTACTTGCGTTGTTTGACAGCTGGAGGAGTATAACCTTTCTTCTCCAGGAAAAAATTGCAGTTTTGTATCCTTACGAGAGGTAGACAGAGGAAATTTACTTGAAACCATTAATTGTAAGAGCTGTGGACTTGCCTCAAAGATATAGATAAAATTTATAAAGATATAAAAGATAAAAGGTATAGTAAGAGGAACATTTGGAGAGTGAAAATTTTCTAGGATCAGGAAGAATCAGATACAAAGAAGAAAGAAAAGATACAAGTCTCATGAAACGAAAGGTGTCAGAAAACCATAAAAGATAAAGCAGTTACACTATGTTAAAAAAGCCTCTCTTCTCAAACCTGAAGTAAAAATCTAATTTTCGATTATAAACATATAGAAGAGCGTATCAATTTATTTCTACTTTAGCTTTATCAATAGTATCATGAGGAAGAATATGAACACTCGTATCAATGGAACAAATGTTATTCTAGTACCGTATCAAGAAAAGCATGTCACAAAGTATGTATTGTCACATTACATAATTTCTTTCTTTCTTATATATCCTACATATAATAATTAATTTCTTTGATATTCATACGAAATTTATTATACTTAGGTACCATGAATGGATGAAGAATCCGATGCTGCAATATTTGACAGGCTCCGAACCATTAACGTTAGAAGAGGAATTCGAGATGCAAAAGCGATGGCTCGAGGACGAAGATAGTAATTATTAGTTAGTTTGGTCCTAATGTTGTCCATATTGTATCATGGAATTTTAGCTTCAAGCTGTTGCAGAATGCACCTTCATTATTCTGGATAAATGCGTCTTCCTGTCTACTGGAAGTGAAATAGGTACGCGTGTCAGGTTGCACCAAGACTACAGTATGTAACTTTTCTATCAAATAATCGCTTTCAGATGCCATGATAGGAGACACAAATTTATTCTTTAACGATTTGCAAGAACCAAATATTGCCGAAATAGAGATTATGATAGCTGATGAGGCATATCGAGGTAAAAGAAGAGGCTGGGAATCTGTTATTCTTATGATGCACTATGGTAATTTGTATTGATAGTAAAAACTAAATGTCAATATTTTTTTTTAATACTAATTTATATTTATTCTGCAATAGGCTTCAAAACACTGAATATTAATAAATTTCGCGCCAAAATCAAATCGGACAATATAATGAGCATAAATATGTTTGAGAAGCTTGGTTTTCGAGAAGTAAGTTAAATGACTTGACCTTTAATCGCATGTTTATACTAAATATTTCATTAGTTATATGGATAAAATAATAATTTAGGTAGAAAGAAGCGAAATTTTTCAAGAAGTCACTCTTGAGAAGGAAACATCTTCCGACTGGATGAACTGGTTACATTCTGAATTGCAATCTGTTTTATTTAATTCACATTAATTTGTCCCTCAAATTATCATTGTTGTTAAACTAACTACATAATAAATTACTAATGTATATTTTTAATTGTACAACTTATTTTAAGAATAAAAATGTTGATAATATAGAATGTAAAAGTTTTTAATAAATGCCTTTGTTTTTCCTTACAATGCACAGTAGTAATTCTATAGAATTAAACGGGGATGTTAATGCAACGCAATTGATGTAGTTGAATACATGATTGGGCATGATTGAATCTAAATGGGTTATAAACAGCTTCTATATGCCAGTACCAGAATCACTCTTCAAAGCACCATCCATTCAAACGCCTCTATCAGTTACGACAATAATAATATTTATCTTACCTGATAACGCAAACGTAAAGCAAGCGATAAGAGACTTGTGATTAAATATATAGAAATATGTCGGTGACGAAAGTTCTTCGAATGATGAATAATATTATGCAGAAAAGACCGTTGCTGTACAACTCGGTGATATACGGTTCCTTCTTCACAAGCGCCGAGCTCATTCGACAGAATTTTACTAATGTATCCAAGGTGAAATGTACATTTGGATTTTTTGCCTCAAGATAATACATGAATACAGAGAAATTTTTTGCAACATGTTCATGCTAATGAGTGGATTGTAATCGTGTGTAGCCAGTTGCTGAAGAGTCTAGAAATTCCGCCGATACCAAGGGGCCGATATTAATACAAGTACAAAGATTATGTGAAACATTGAATCTCATAGATGAAGACACTTCGGTGCAGTCGACGAATTATAATTGGCCTCAGTTGAAAAGATGTGCAATCTATGGCTGCTTCCTGGCCGGACCGATATTATATAGATGGTATTTCAATCATTGAATTGATGTAAAATGTTCATTTGACTTCTTGATGAATTAATATAAATGTTATAATGGCAGGTACAAATGGCTCGATAGATTTTACAGCGGAACATCTGTAAGAATTGTGCTAACGAAGCTCCTCGCGGATCAATTTATCTTCACACCGCCGCTACTTGTATTATTCTTTACTAGTTTGTATCTCTCATGCACCTTGCGCGATATTTATCTTCTTTTTTATATAAATTACGATTAGCTCTGTAAATCTTACAGGTATGAGTTTGATGGAAGCTAAATCGGATATCCTTCGAGAATGTAAAATCAAATTTCTGCATACTTTTCAGGTTCGTTTTGAGACGCAAAAGTCAGGCCGCAAATATTATATATATATATTTCTGCTTTGTCCTTTCAGACTTCATGTGGATTTTGGCTACCAGTACAACTTGTAAACTTTATGTTAGTTCCACCGTCTTTACGAGTAACGTACGTCAGTATTGCTTCCTTCTGTTGGATCAATATTCTCTGTTACTTAAAAAATGTACCTGTTGCTGAATATGAACAGAAAAAATAAAAATACTGGAAATTGCGTAATGTTGTATTATGCATACATATTTACATGTAATCCTGAACAAGTAAATATAAAATATTCTCGTTAATGAGATTGAAAATTTATCTATTTCTTTTATTATCATATTATTATGTGTGCTGTCAATAAAATTATCCCAAGACATAAAAATAATATTTAATACAAAATTAGCATAATTGTAGACAATTTGTTTGGCATTTATTTCTTCGAAGATAGTTTTATTTACAGGAACACAGCGTGTTGCATTGGGATTGAATATAATTATTTCCCTTCAAAAAAATAATGAGTGAAAATGCTAGGCCCTCGGAATTTATTATTTATGTACAGAATATATCAGAATATATCGTCTTGCGGCCTTATAATCAAAAAGAGATGGTTTAAACAAACCAAGATAAGAAATATAGATACAAAAAAAAAAATAATAAAATACTCTGGAACATTGTTGGGTGATTTTTGAAATATTTTCTATTATAAGCCAGCCTTGTCATTCAATAGAGATTAGTCTAAAGATAGTCAGATTGAATTAAACTTCTGGAAGAGAATTTCTTACATTCTGAATGTTACACGCTATCAGAGACAAGTATCACACGCAATATTATTGCTAAGTAAAAATTCCATGTTATATCGTTATGATACTGTCTGTCCACTCGACAGTAAACAGACAACATAAGCTTGGCTTTCAACACAAGAGTATTATGATTGACGAGCGATTGGTGCTTGGAGTTTATATATCCGCGTTTTATCAACTTCTTCTTTAAGAGCAGTCTTGTGTATATCTCTATATAAACTACATTTCCGTGTGCAGATATACGAATAAATACATGACTCGACAGCAACAACACGAGTAAATAAGTCCGCATGTATTCTCGCGCGCGTGCTGAGTCATATATTTGTCTATTTCGATAATACGATTCCATCGTATGATTATCGGTGAATAATTAAGAAAGACGTCTAAGAGGAATCCAACCCTATCTTGTGGACGAAAATATATTGATTGTTCCGCTGGCTGTGCGCTTTCTTACAAGTCGCGCCGCTACTACAAATAAAAATCAATACACATATATGCATGATTTTCTCACGTGCTTAAGTTTATACCTGTTTACTTACCGGTTGCATCCTGTGGCGTTAATGGTTTATCAATTACTTTTTGGATCACATGCATCCATTGCGATCTGTCGTCGTCGCTTTGTGCAGAGAGCAGATAAGTTCTGTCGGGTGTCTCGAGAGTAAACGAAAATCCTTGGTCTCTAGCACCTGGCGGTACACCAATCTTCACCGCGAAACCTTCGGAACTGTGTCCTAGGAAGATTTCACCTTTTGGATGTGCGTCCTTATAAGATAAAGACGATATTAACAATATGGATCGATCGAATAAAATGAGAAAGAAAATTTAATATAAAACATGCGAACCATGGGATCGTCGTGATACATGAGTTTTCTGCCATCCAATGTGAACCATCTCTTTTTGTAAGCGTCCGTATGTCTTGGCCCGGTTTTCCATAGGAAACCTTCGCGCGGAAAATCTCTCGTGAGTTGCGACAATAATTCGTTTTCACTTGCACCCGGATATGCCACTTGTAACCGATGAAGCTTCGCGCATCTGATCGCGAGGTACCAATTCGTGATTACTTCTGGATCTTCATGATACACATAGATATGTCTCGTTGTACCATCCTTCATAAAGGATAATTGCAGACTGTTTTGATTGCCAGTTTTAGGTGGTGCAAACGCCACGTTCAATTCTGATATTCTTAACACAGCTTTGGGTTCCTTGAAATACATATAAAATGTTACTGACGTGTCTGCATTTTAACTCGCGAATTGCATCTATCTTATTTAAATCACCTTATTTTCTTTGACATGATACTTGAGTGTATCCTCTGCCTCGCAAAGCACAAATTTTCGAGGATGATAACGTGAATCTTCCTTCCCACGTTTCATTAAAAATCCCTCCATAAATCCTGAGACATAGTGATTTTGTCTTTCGGGATGACAAAATTCTTCCCTCTCATATTTTGCTCTTATCCACTGTTCAACTAAAACTCTAATAATTTTCAAAAAATTAGTTTCTAATAATGCAGACTTTACTATTAAACTTTGATAGAAATATATCATTTAACATTTAATTATAATCTACCATTGTTAGTTGATAATGTGACTAATAGCATATGTCATCAGAGATAATAAACTAAAACAGGAAAACCACAACAAGTATTTGATAACTCACTGTGGGGCATCTGGGCTTGGTCTACGATAGCAGGAAGGTACACGTTCCTCATAGTGCAGTCTCGCTATAGTATTACCCACTTCACGTATCCTATTTACTTGAGAATCTTCCCACCTATCTAACTTTAAGTGCTTCACTTTCGATATATGTGCTCCCATGGATCTGTGTACACCGGCACATCTTGTGCAAACAAATATACCTATGTTGTAAGATGCCCATTCTGGATCTGAAATGTGGAATGACAGTATGATCAGCAAGCCGTAACGTGTCCCAGTTGTACTTAGAATGAGAAAAAAAGAGTTATCACGCCTATTCTCAGTAAAGATCACTATCGACAGGAAGCTACTTATCGCACGAGCGATTATTACGCTTAATGTCGTAACGCTCGGCCAACTGCCACGATGTTAAATCAGGACGCTACGCGAATCGCTCTCGACACCGGAATCAATGACACTTTGCGCGCTCACGCGATTAATGTTGAAATATCACGATACAAAAACAAACACGTCTCCCTCGAAGGTTGCGCGACGATTTTCCCGCAGGTTTAAATCGAACGTACGCGAACGCACGCGTCTCGCTCGCTCCACGAGATGAGGATAAATGCAACCTTCTTACGGAACGCACTCACTCTTGGCCCCACAGTCCGCGCACACGTTGTTCCCAGACTTTTTCAGGAGTTCCGCCAACAACTTCTCGTTCGTATCCGCCATCTTAAAACATTGACATACGACGATGCTCATACACCGTGGACGAACGCGGCTCCTCCTTTTTCCGACTCCCCCATCCGATATATGACGCGGTCCAGTAAGTGCTACAAGTACACTCCGTGACAACGATTCGTTCCGCGGCTTCTCTCTCGCGGGGCAAGGGGAGTGTAGAAGTGACCAATCAGCTGGCAGCGTGGCAGTGGCTGATTGGTTAGGGGCTATGCTCCATTGCCCCGCGGAGAACCATGAAACGAATCGTTGTCGCGGAGTGTACATTGCGCGACAACGATTCGTTCCATGGTTCCTCTCGCGAGGCAAGGGGAGCGTAGTCTCTAACCAATCAGCCATTGCCACGCTGTCAGCTGATTGGTCACTTCTACCCCCTATTGGTTCGCTCCCCTTGCCCCGCGAAAGAGTGGCCGAGGAACGAATCGTTGTCGCGCAGTGTACTGCAGAGCACCTGTAGCAGTGGGTCTGTTCTTTTCAGCTGCAATGCTGCACTAGTGCAATAAGTTAGAAAGAGACAAACATGCTTCCTTTCACTCTAACTAATTGCACTAGTGCAGCAGTGCGGCTGAAAAGAACAGACCTAGTACTACGGTTGGTTCACCTACCGCTACGAAATGCTACAGTAAATCTTACACGTCATCTACAATGGCTGCGTTCAGAAATATCACCCGAATGTACCTGGGTATCATTTTATCCTTGTTTAACATTTGGTGAACAACAAAGATAAAATGATACCCGGAAGCACTCGGGTGATGTTTCTGAACACAGTCAATGGCAGTAGAATTAATGGATTAAAGCTATAACTTAAGGAATTGACCAATCACAGTCAAGCATTAAGAGAATACTCGATTGTGATTGGTCAATTTCTCGAGTTACAGCTTTAAAGGTGCGATTTCATTGACGCTAAAAAGTAGCGTCAACCATTGGTTAAACCATGAAGCAACTACTTACTTCTTTGTTCAACCAATGGTTGACGCTACTTTTTAGCGTCAATGAAATTGCACCTTTAATCCTACTGCCATTGGGTGTGTTCCAAAATTCACTGCCAGCGCTGAAAATCTATAATTCACGTTACGTATATTATATATTTTCAGCGCTGGAAGTGAATTTTGGGACATAGGCGAAGATGCTACAGGGAGCTTTCCAGCAACGACACAGAATATCATTCTATCTTTGTTGTTTACTGATATTGAAAGAAGATAGAATGATACGCTGTGTCGCTCTGTGTCGTTGCTGGAAAGCTCCCACAAACGCCTCTCCTCATAAGGTGGGTTAGCTGTAGCGTAGCCTGGTTCATTTACGTAGCAATTATAGTACTCATAGCATTCGTGAACCACTCCTCTGAAGGTATTTAGAGCGTAACGCTCAGAGCATTTGGTAGAGTTTACTGGACCGCACCCATAAGTATACACATTAATGATCATAGACATACAAAACGCGTAGATGGGATCAGCTGCCGATATTGGCGAGAGAGGTTAAGTCCATCAAACTATGCGTTGAAAATTAAAATTTGATCAGTTAGAAAAAAATTTATTCTTTTCATCCTGATCAATCACATTTCTACCTCTAATCTTCAATGCGAATTAGTCCGATACGAGTTTAAACGTTGGCATCTTTGATGTTGAGATCTACAATAGGTAATTTAAGCTCTAAGCTTTAAGAAATTGACCAATCACAGTCGAGTATTTTCTTCATACTTGACTGTGATTGGTCAATCTCTTAAGGCTTAAGGCTAAAATTACCTATTGATAGATACGATTTAAAATGACAGACGCGGCCATTTCTTTCGACGCATGCGCACTAAAAATTAATGGCCATTCTAGCAGCCAATCAGACACGAATATTTGTTTTTTACATTGCAATATTAATCTAGAGAATATATGATCGTTGGGGGCAATCAAACTTGTGTCATATGACATTTTCAGTGATTTCTCTCTCTCTCTTTCTCTCTTTAAGGCACTTTTTTATCACGATTGTAAATAACTTATTGTTTACAACTTTGACAATTCCAATGAGAGAGATTCAGATCCAGGAGAGATAATATAAAAAGGTAGGAGATATTTTTACGCAAAATAGATTATTGTTTACGTTTACATTAAAAGAGGTTGTATTAGTTTTTAGATTTATTTCAATATATATACGTACAATGACACGTGTGTGCATCTGTTGCAAATATCGTGTAATTCAGGCACATGTTGCGTCAGACATATCACTCTACGGGTGAGTATTCCCACGGATAGCATCCCCATTTACTCACCCTTCGAGTATTGTACCTTGATTTTTGGCGCAAAACGATCCGCAAACGATTCTCTTAAGGTTACCGAAAAACGACGAATTGCTGAAGAAATGGATGCTAGCGATCGGCAAAACGGAAAGGAAAATCTGCGAATCGTCGCGAATATGTTCGCGTCATTTCAAGGAAGATGACTTCAGGTACAGTGTAGTCGGAGGCAAGCGTTTTTTAAAACGAGGTGCGATACCATCTCTTTATTTAAATGAGGAGAGTAAAGATGATGGGTTCTCTGACAATAGAGACAAAATGAATACCATGGATAACAAATCGTTAAATATCGTGACATCGCAAGATGCTAAAAAAGATAATCAACTGTCGTATAACATTGGAAAGATGGTACAAACAACTGCTAAAGATACATGCGAGAACACCGAATTTGTTGCTGGTGAATGCTATGAAAAAATACAAATGCCTGAGAGGTAAGCGATACAATGATGCTGTTACATTTTTATAATCTAAGTGAATATATCACGTAGAAGATTTTTTCTTCAGAATATCAGCTTCTTTGCTAGATTCTTCTTCAAATGAGTCGGAGAAGAAATACAAGAAACATTTATATGATGTTAGATGGGAGGAGATTTCTACATCTGCAGTGCAAGCTAAAATTTATTGGGAAGTGGCAATTAAAAGAATTATGCGGCAAAAGGTAATTCTGAGAAGTTTACGACAAAAAGTCAAAAGATTAAAAAAGACAATCCAAGAATTACGAACTCGTGTCAAAAAGGTAGCTTGTAATGACTTGCAGTGAACATGTATGTTATATATGTAAAAATTGTATGAATGTAAAAGTATGTTAATAAATTTTTAATATATTTAGTGATATATATTTTGTGGATAAATATAGGGCATATAAATTATAAACATACATTGTAGTCTGTTTTTTTAATTTTTTTTTCTACATATTTTCTTTTTCAAATTATATATGAATATAATAGATTGTGTATAATATACATATATATTTTTTACTTGTTGAACTTTAGGGCATAGAAAGTGTAAATGTTAGCAGATAGAGCTCCTGTTTGAAAATCACTAAAATTCTAGGGACATACACAAACTATTTGTATATGTATAAAATTTAAATATTTCATTTATTTAATTATTTTAATTGAAATCACAAAAATAGGATCAGCATTACGTCCCATGATAAACATGGTCAATCATTGTGTATCTTGGAAATAGTTTTCGTCATTTCCTGCTAGGGAATATATTTAGCTCTGTCTTATATTGTGATACTCGAATCAAAGAGCGCTTGCGAGAAAGCATTTATCATTCAATAAATATGAAATGAATAAATTTTTAACAATAATTTTTTCAAAAATAAAGAAAGGAAATGTGCGTATCTTGCCTTATTTAAAATTTATTTAAAAATTATAATATTTTGTAATTTATACAAATTTTGTTTACAAGTTTCATAAGTATACTTATTTTATATGTATATAAAATTATATAAAATGGATATATAAAATACATAATATATTAATAAATAATATATTATACATAATATATTAATATATTAATTATAATATACATAATATATTAATTATATAATATATTAATTAAATATAATTAATATGTTATATCCTTATATGTAAACAAGTAAATATTATTTACATTGTGCAGAAGATATTATTTATCTTTAAACAGATATTTCATGTCAAATTTTCAACATTTCAGTGCTTTGCGTTGATTCTGTCTACATCCGATTTGAATTTGAACTACAAACTCGAAAATTTTTGTTGATAATCTATCGATGACAAAGTGTGTAGACAAGCATGGAATAGACAACGCAAACATCGGGCGACTTGTGATTAATGTTTTTGCAGACGGCCGTTGTCGAGGACGAGCCCATGGGGAGCTCTCACTGTTTTGTAACCGACCATTTGCCACTCACCCTTTGAACATTCGTTACGAGTTGTTGGGCGCTTCGATTGCTATCACCTTTGGATTATTTGGAGACCGCATTGCTATTATCGATTCTATGCAAAATTTATAAACGTGGCGACTTTATCAAACTATTCTCATTTAATATTATTTACATTTGAAATTTTAAAACATAATTATTTTTGAACTTAAATCAATCATTTAAGACTTTAAGGCCCGGTTGCACCAACGTTATTTTAGCTTTAAGCGAAACTTAAATATATGTCTGTCTTTATTTATTTAGAAAGAAAGATAAAGATAGATATATATTTAAGTCTCGCTTAAAGCTAAAATAACGTTGGTGCAAAGAGGACCTAAGAGTTCAAAGTTCTATCCAGCGATTTAAAATTTTTAAGTGTAATAATCCCGAGAGAGAAAGAGAGAGATTTAATATAAAAAATTTTTTAACTTATATTAATATTATTCAATATTATATAAAATTATGTGACAAAATAATTCCTCGAGATTTTCATTAAAAGAGATGATGAATTTTAATTTCGTCGAAGAATCTGTCATTAAGATTGGGGTCCCTTCAAGACAAGAGCCTGCAACAGCGTTGCTGTTACGACAATAGGGAAATCGAAAACTTTCGCACGCACCCTCGAATTCAGGATGCTAATTGGTGGGTGGTTAACTCGTAGCCAACGGCAAGTTTTCCAAGATTTATGAGCGCTGTGGCTAAAGGCGTGAATAAGCCTGGGTCACAGTCGAGGAAGGGTAACGCAAGATTTTGAATTAAATGTCAACCGCACGGATGAGACACGAAACTAACATCGTTTCGCCGCGATGTCTGGGAATAACGACGCTGCCAGCAACTTCGCGCATTATTTCCATCCGGCAATAAGTTAACGACAATGTTTTGCGATGATCCGAGCAACAACTGTCAAATATGAGACCTACATATAATAAATTCGACAGAAATTGCCAATTCATTGTGGATAATGAATCATTGTAGATTCATGAAAGATTCATGAAAGATTGATAGATTCGAGAACAAAATTTAAATATAAAAGGAGAGAGGGAACAAATAACAAATGTCATCTGAGAAATCTTGAAATTTGCGATTTGAAATTTAAGAAAAGATCCAGCATGAATATCGGCTTCTAAAGATCCAAAGATTCAGAGATATGGAGCTGTCTGGAAAAGTAGGAAGAAAATTTACAACTTTTTTATTTCATTTGAATAATTTTATTTAACGAAATCTACATTTTAGAGATTAAAATAATAAGATACTCTTTTTGAAAAAAAAAATATAATTTATGACATGCATATATATTCTCTTTTACGATTTTCTATTATACTAAGATGTTATGAAAATTATGAAAATTATTCATTAAAATTAATTGTATTGCGTAATTTGCCCGGCTTCTAATGAGCCTTGTGTACCAAACGTATGTACGAAAATTACAACTAAATTGCAAAACACGAAATTTCGCTGTAATTATTACTTGTTAGCGTCGTCTATTGTTGCTCGTTCGCGCTCGAACGAATCTCATGTTGATTTATCCACGCACCCGTATACGTTACTGTTAAAGTATGAAAAATGATGTATCTTTCGTATGGCTTAATGGTCCATCCCCCTTTTCCCACGCACGTTGCTCGCGCGTATTCACCGTTGAAAAATAATGATTCTATCGGTAAACATATTCTTCACGGATAAAATATCTTTATTGCGAGTCTCGTCGAGAATCGAGGGTGATTAAGAAAACTAAATAAAATAAAAATCTCAAATCAGTTTTTATAATAGTACAGCTTCATATTTCTTCTTCAGAGTATCAGACTGTCTACGAAATTTTTATGTTTGTATAAATTTTTTTTATAAAGTTTAGTTTTACAATATTTATTTTTTTACACTTTTTAAAAATTTTACAAATATATACATAATGTACGTATATAATAAACAGTACATGCATCTCCACTCGCGCGAAAACAGCAACCCTCGAAAAGAAATAAGAAGAATGAAGAAGAGCTATAAATTGGGGGTGACGAAACTCGGCAAGATGCAAAGACCGTGGGGCAAGTGCAATGAAAGTGCCATTTGGTACAGCACACACGACGCTCACCCCTACGACTGGCACGTGCCTCGAATATAATTTATTGCAGTTGGAATTTTGTGGGGTGTCCCGCGTGCTCTTTGTACCTAGCGATGAGTACAAGCCACTTTTGTCATCCGCTCGATATACCAGAATCCCGCCAATGATGACGATGATCGTTCGAGCACTCGAGAGAATCGTCCTTGTTTTATTCTTACAAAGAATAGGCAAAGGTCTGCAGACAGAAACATGTAATTGAAAACGAAAGATAAAAATGAAAATATTTTAAATATTCTAAAAATTATGAAATTTTTAATAATATTACAATTTGTTTATTTTAAAAAGTAATCAGCGAGAAAGGAGTAAAAAATTCTTATGCATACTTTTTTCAAATAAACTCCCTAAAATATCAAATTCGATTAGAATCGCGTAATCGAATTTAGAAATTGATCGGATAATTGTTACCATGTTCTTTCTAATGTTAGTGATCCTTGCAAATTATCCGCCTCTGATCGATTATTCACAAATACTATAAAGCCGAGATCCGTGTGTTTTTTTCATCCGTTCAATACCGCGCTTTCCAGCGTCTCCCTAACGAGCCCGTTCTTTTTTTCCCTCTCCCTCCCCCGGTTGACAGAAGGAACGCTCGTGGCATACATCGGCCGCGACGATATATCGACTTCATACGTGTCGCACTTGGAAATCGCGGTGGTTTCGTCCCAATAATTCGGATCCCGTATTTTGCCGAGAGCGCGTAAACGCGGGAGGCGAATCCCGGCTACCCTCATCGCCAAAACAACCACCCTCGCGTACGTGAGCGGGATGAGCAAGCGGGATCGGGGCGGGATCGGGAGCGAGAATCCCCGAAGTTTCGAGTTGGTGAAAAAGTTGGACGGTACGGTCGTCCCTTCACACTTGGAGGCTCTTTTTCCAGCGGAGAATCGCCACCTTCCGCGATATCGAATCGCCACCGTGCGTTCCCGGTGCTCGCCTCTCGTTCGATTCGAGTTTATTTTAGGTCCGACTTGAATGGGGCGCGAACCGGAGTAAAAGAAGAGAGAATCAATAGTAATTATATTCGAAATAAAAAGCAAATAACCGAACCGGAAAAATTGCCGGATTAAGATAACCGAGGTTTTAAGAAGAATTTATAGCGATGCGTTTTGCGAAATTACCGATTTCTAATCTTCGAAATCGGTTTTTCCGCACGAAGAAAATGTAGTAAAGATTACAATGTAATCTTTGTAATCGCGAAGCATGCATATAAGAAAAATCGTGTGTCGTATTTTCAAGAATATTATATACGTATTATATTTTTTTACAAAAGAATATTATAATTATTCAAATATTCTGATACACAAATAAATGCATTATTATTAACAAATAATAGAATAAATGCATAATTTACAATTTTTATAATAATAAATATCTTAATGTTATCATTACATTCCAGTTTTACAAATGTAAAAAAAATATATTTTCATGTAATTTGTATTGTAAAATTTTCTCCGTGTAGAAAATTTCAGATCTTTTTTATTCTCCTTTAATCCTATCGTTATTTGTTTTAATTTTCGAAGGGGACAGTAATCAAATAATTAAAAATGGATCTCACATTCAAGATTAAATTATATAATTATATGAAGCAGATCTTTTTACATCGCATATTTTTAATGTACATTTTTTTGCCACGCTGGAAAGGCCAACCTGTTTAGCGAAAATGCAAACATTTCTCGAATTAAATGGCACCTTTCGAGATTGCCCTTTTCACGATTTCCGTTTGTGATATTCTTAAAGTGTATTAGCCCCCGTCATGACTCCCATGGGAGCCATTTTCCAGAAAGTTTCATTCGAGTTTGGCTGCCGCGGTTATATACGTATATCCTTCTTATCGTATCTGTCGTCGCTAGAGAAATCCGAGATGAGATCGATTGAGAAATGATCAAATTCATAATCTTATTTTTATTCGCGAGCCAATTCAACACGCGATGCATAATCGATGCGATTCTATAATGACGTTGTTCATCAGCGAGGAAAACAAATGACAATGATATTTTATAACGCATATCCAAAGATGACAAAAAATATAAGTAACGATGAGCTAGCATTATTTCTCGAACAATTTTTAAAGATTTCTTTCGAAATTTTTTATTTCTCGCTCTTCGAATGTTCGCCGAATCTAGATTATTGCGGCGATTTTTTTATTCGCGAGGAGCAAAAATATCATTGCGAGAGCTTTGTTAGCGGAAGCACGCGCGGATTCTGCGTGATGCATCGACGACGCCGCGTGGGAGTCGGCCAGGCGGCGAGGCGCGGGTAAAGGGGGAGAGGCCGCTGGACCGAAATCTGGCCTCAGTCGTGCGCGACGCGCCATATGCGGTGGACCATTTGTCAGCCCGCTCACAAAGGCCAATAATCTCGCGTGACACGTGTGCCTCTCCCCCGAGTAAAAAGCGTTACGTGTCGCGCCGCGTTCGTGGAAAAGTTCGTTTTCCCGCATCGCGCGACACAGAAATCTCACGAGCGTCCTTCGGTACGGATTATTGACGGGACGCGCGATCCTGTGCGAATAATCGCAGTGCGTAAGAATCGCTCTTTTTTTTAATCGTCTTCCAATATATTAAATATGTAAATTCGATTCAAACGTTTCGAAGAAGTGGTTATCTGGTTATCTCTCGATCTCGGAGCAGATTAATCGGGATTTAAATTTGACAGATTCGCGAAATGTTTCCGCTATTCTGCAGTTCGGTCCGAAACACGTGGTGCTCGCCGACGAAGAAGTTGCAAGGAATTTAAAGTATCTTGCGATTCGAAATACGTAAGTAGTTCATAGTTTCATCGATGTATATATATTTACACATGTGTGTATGTAAATTTAATATGTACTATAATGCAATTATTCGCAATAATCTCGTCGTGATTGATTATTCGCGCTTTCTTTATACTTCCCATAAAATGCCTCCGTTATTTTAAGGATCGCAAAATAGACATTCCATATAATTCATTATACATTAGATCATAACGTCAGTGACAATTAAAGTTTAATTTTCTCAATTATCAATGAAATTAAATTATTTCACAGATTTCAGATTTATTGGAAAAAATCCGTAATTAAAATATAATCGCGACGTTCGTCAAATAATGCAAACTTTCGATCAAAATAAATGCTCGTTCAGAGTGAGAGTCTACTTATTAAATCATCGAAAGCGTGATAGGAAATTAAAGAGTGTGTCGACGGGATTACGTGCGGCGCATAATTAAAGCGCTCGCAAAAAGCATAAAGGGAAGAAAGGGGCGTACGAGATAGCCTCTAATTTAACGCGAGATTTTAAGCACCTGTGTTGTAAATATTACGGAAATCTGGATAATTATACGGCCGGGGGAGAGGATAAAACACCCGGACTCGACCGGGTGGGCTTACATTTATTAGGGGCGAACAAAAGCGGCGAGATAAGAGCGCGCTGAATCACGGCCGATGAGACACGAGCGTGTAAATGTGCTTTCGGTGTAGAGTCGCGAGAGCACTTAACAATTGCTTAAAATAACCAGAATGTAGCGTGCGCCGCACTCACGGCGGAAAATGGCCGTTGGGCGCGTGCCGCTAAATTCGGACCAAATTCGAGAATCGTGATGCGTATCGCCGATGCAATTTTCAGTCGGACGTGTCGTCTATGTTTTTATCTGTACTTGTAGTGATTTATGTATTTTGCGCGCGTACGAACAATGCATCCACGCGCTTACCAAAAACAAAAAGTTAATAACATTTTTATAAAAATTAATATACATATCTTATGTATATTTATCAATTTTCTTTTCTTCGATAAGAAAGTATGTCTCTCTCTCTCTCTCTTATAAAAATATATTATATATTTCTTTAATAAATAGATATATAATATAATATATTAAGTATTATATATTAAGTATTATATATTTTTTATGAAAGAAAACATTTTATTCATTGATTCTTATACACAACTTTCTAATTAAAATTACCATTAATTTTTATTAATATGGAAATAAGGCGCAAATTACTAAGGATATTGATAAGAACCATTGTCAATTTTAATAAGAAAGTCCTGATGTAGGAACTGAAGCTCGAAATAGAAAATTGTTTCTTTTATAAAAATATATAACACAATAAAAAAATTTTTATCTTCTTTTATTAATAAATATTATATATATAATCTTTTTTAAAAAGAGAATTAAAAAAGAAGAGAAGAATTTAAAAGATCTTATGCATCGATTTTTATATATCACGACTAACTTTCTATTTATTAAAATTATCAATTTTTATGAAGATTGGGCGCAAATTATCGCTAATTTTTTTTTTATAAAAATATAATTTAATAAAAAAATATTTATCTTCTTTTATTATTTAAAAAATATAACATACAATATATAATATAATATAATATATCTTTTTTAAGAAGAGAAATTTCTCTTATACATCGATTTTTTTTATACATCACAACTTTCTCTTATTAAAATTATCATCAATTTTTATTAATATGGAGATCAGGCGCAATCTATCACTATAGGTAAGGACCGTGAAATTACCATGATCCTTCTGCTGGAAAGAGATAAGATAGAATCTTTACAAACTTTTCGACCTTTCGAATTTCCCAAATGAAGAGCTCTGATAATCTTTTGTTTTTTTTTTCACGGAGAGTTTGGTCGTTGCGTTATCTCACTGAGAGAAAGAGAGAGGGAAAGAAATCTCGAAGTTCTTAAAGACCGACGCCATTTCTTCGGAAAGGATCACTGGCCGTGACTTGTCTCCCTTCGAGACAGCTCCGAGAACTTTGGAATTTTTCGTTTCCACAGAGTTGCAAAAGCTCGGCTTACATGTATATCCTCGGTTCGTTCTCTACCCGCTTATCCACCCGCCATCCTTCAACTTGATCCCGTCTTTTATTTTTACACCGCTCGTCTCCTCCCGCGAGAGGAGATACGCCGAATGAATCCTAAATGAGACGAATTAGAAGGAAGGTGAAACTATAAACTCTTAATTTCCGATATCATCCCCCGTCGTCTTCGTGATCGTTTGAAATTAATTTCTACTTCACGTCTTACATGTCTACATCCAAGAGGATGAATAACTGACAGTTAATGATTGTCGTAATCGTGGGATAAGTTTTCGACGTTGCGTCGTCGTTTTTCATTTCGCAGATAAGACGCACCTCTCGACAGTCGCCTTTTATGAAGGGCGGTGGGCCTTCACGATGAAGAGCGGAAAATGAGTAAAATCGTAGGACGAGAGGGTGCAGGGAGGACGTGAAGTGGGACAAACTGCGGCGAAGATGAGATACGAAACTGCGCTGTACCTGCTCTCGTTGCTGATCCTGTCGCTCAATGATCCTTCGTGGGCTTCCGCCGAGATCAGAGGTTTGCTTCGATTAGTTTGTTCGTCAATTAATTACTATAATAAATGAGATATCATCTTGGTCTATAAAAATTGAAGAGTATAATTTTTTTCATAAAAAAGATTATTTTATTTTATTTTATTTTTTTAAAGAAAATATATTATAATTTTTATAATATATTATAGTTTTACAATATATTATAATTTTATATAATATATTATAATATATATATATATATATATATTATAATTTTATAATATATTATAATTTAATTTTTTTTTTAAATAAATATTTTTTTTTCTCAAATATAACCATGTTATTTCCGTCATCGTACAAATATGTTCGAATAACCGGATGATTCGCGGATGATTCGATAGAAGAGAAGCTGCAATCCCGTAGAAGCTTCGATGGGAATGAAATTGCCTAGCTTAATGAAGCACGAGGGGCGAAACTTCGTCGAGAAAGAACGTTAATCACCTTTGTAATGGAATAACATTCGCCTAGATGGAGGGACAACGTATTTAGCACCATCGTTAAGGTCGCCGCTCGTACAAGAGGGGAGGCGAGGGAGAGGGAGAGACTCTATCTTTATATTGCGTAAAACAAAAGATCAAGAATCAAGATTGCTCGCGAAAATAATTCATACATTATTTATAACGATAATAGAATATAAAATATATAATAGAATATAAAAATACCTTGTTTCCACGTGCTTTTCATGTATCCGATGCATCAAAGGAGTCGTTAGTTTATGACTATTCATGTCTCCCGTAACGAGAAGACCGTTGCGTACAGAAGCTATCACCCGAGGATATGTACTTGATGTAATTAATTGTATGCATTGTCACGCGTCTGTGATATGAATAGCCTCTGCAACGGTCGTGTACTGGTACAAACACTTCTTGAGAAATATATGATATGACTTTCGACACAAAGAGAACAAAGAAAAAATATATCGGAAAGAAAAACACATGCATTATATATTATTAATTAATATTAAATAATATTTAATTAATATTTAAAATAATATAATATTATATTATATTAATTTAATTATAAGACAACAACGGAATATAATTATACTTATATATATATATATATATATATATATATATATATAAGTATAATTATATTCCGTTATATATATATATATATACTTATATATATATATATGATATATATATATATATATATCATATATATATATATATAAGTATAATTATATTCCGTTTTTGTCTTATAATTAAATTAATATAATATAATATTATATTATTTTAAATATTAATTAAATATTATTTAATATTAATTAATAATATATAATGCATGTGTTTTTCTTTCCGATATATTTTTTCTTTGTTCTCTTTGTGTTGGAAGTCATATTCTCAAGAAGTGTTTGTACCAGTACACGACCGTTGTATATATTATTTTACTTCTATTCATGCAAAATAATATCACGCTTTTGTTTTACTCGAGATTAACCGTGCATTCTGCAATTTAATCAAATCTAACTCACAAAAGAGTTATGGAATACGGGAATTTGAAAGTTATCGATCTGCACGAGACCACGCATATACTCGCACGCACACGCAATAAAATTAAGATGACAAATATAGCCGAAAGTGGAGAGAAGTACACAGAAGCATACGGGACACGACTGCTTCGTTTCAGTGAGACCGCCGACATCAATAGCAATTAATTAGCCGGTAAACTCTAAGTAATTTCATCAGTCCGGTGCAGTCGAGGGTCGTTGAATAAATAAGGTCGTGTTGTCAGCGGAAATACCGGGGGCGGCGTTTCGATAACCGTTTCTCGCAAACGTCTTGTCCTCCTTCGCGAAATACATTTATTTGCGAGATCGATTCTGAGACCCCTAAGGGTCTGAGAGTTCTGCGGAAGGGCCAAAGAGAAATGAAGGAAAGATTGTTTGGGGGTAGCTGAACGATCAATCTGAATTCTATCTTATCCAAAATACGTGTTTATTGCTATTGTATGGTTTATACAGAGGGTACCACCGAGAAACTACCGAATGTCCTTTCAAAAATAAACGCTTCTCTCAAACACGAATTCTTCAGCTCTATTTCTTATATCTACGTTATTACGTTATTACGTTGATTTTCTTCTAAATGCAAATTGTTCATATTATTTTTTTTCTTTTGAACGATCTATTTTTCGCGTTGCGTAGGATGTAATCGCACTATCAGAAATTCGGTCGGCTGGATTCGCTGGACAGGACGAATGGGACGATGCATTGTGCGAATCAGAGCGCCAATAAGAGATCCACAGGTTAATATATATATATCACTTTTATTATTATTTTTAACGTCTTATGATGATTCCTCAATTTACAATAAAAGTATATATAATAAATAAAAAAAAATATATAATAAATAAAAATAAGACGAAAAATTTAGAGAAAATATAGAGAATCAAACGAGAATTTTGAAGCAGATGATTAAACAATGAAATAAATAATAAAACGTAGCGAAATTAATCGATAACTAATTAAATTCGTGAACGCGCGGACTCGTTGTAGGTGATCGAGGTGAAGGTCAGGAGATTACAGGTGGGTTTTCTGAAGGAGGCTCGATGCGAGGGGGCGTATTTTCAGTTCTCGGACAGCGCGGACGATCCTGACGACGAGGCAGGTCGATATTGCGGCCACGTGACCGGGAATGTTACGAGGTACTTTATTCTCTCGTATTCATCGTGTCTCGTTTTTCATGTCTGATTCCGTCAGATTCTCGCCACTGAAATCACGTTGTTCGCACGCAGGCTGTTTCTGCGACGTGGCCCGGATCTGACCATCACCCTGTCGTCGGATGCGCATTTCGCGTCGGCGAACCCGGTCATCTTCTCCGCTCAATTTTCCATCCTGCCGGCGCGCCTCGCGATCGAACGTCATCGCGGTTACTCAGCGTCCTCGTCGCCCACGTGTCCCATGGAGTGCACCGTGCGCAACGAGCGGAGGTCCTGCAGACTGACCTCGCCGGGTTATCCCAGCGTCTACCCACGTGGAATTAGGTGCGAATCACCAACAAGGACGCTGAAATTGCCTTGCTGAAAAAGGAAGCAAAAGTTTGCCCACATAAATTCTAGGAGATCCTAAAGCTTGATCAATTACATCGGAATTATTCTTGCGCAGATGCCGAATCGCTTTGGAGTCGAGCGCCGGCCGCTTCAGGATAGGCGGTCAGCCGGAGGACCTCTTCGACTTGATGAACTACAGCGATCAAGAGAGTTGTCAGATGGAAGATTGCGAGGACTCCGGAGAGGGATACGCTCGATCGTCGTTCTCGGCACTCGCGAGGGTAGCGAGGAGTCGGTATCGTTTCCTAGAGGATGAATCTATTATCGGGGACGATCGATCGAGGAAGGAAGACGACTGTCGAACGAGACGCGGCGCGGAAACGAATAGACAATTAACGAGGCGGAGGCACTACGAGAAGAAAGCGACACGGTGGTACGGAGACAGGCAATATCATCACAAAGAGCCGAATAGGCCAGGCACGAGCGAGCCTTCGAGACTTCGCATAAAATCAATGCGTTCGAAGATAACGAGGCAGGACCAGCGGAGGGTCGCCCCGAACCGTTATCTCAATGGTGACTCTGAAAGGCCGAATGAGACGTTCGGTAGCACGACGGTAAGTCGTTCAAGCAGAAAAGAGGGGCATTAGAGTGAGCTTTCGCTAATAACTTTCTCTGTACAAAGTATACTCTAAGTAGTATAAGTAAACGCATATATTTGCAATAAAGTTTTAGATAGCTTTATTTATTTCACTTACTCCGTGTAATTACTATTCTAGTTTTTCAATTTTATTTTGATTATTATACAGGGTGTCGCGCTTAATTGACGCCCACTATTTATACAGCGATATTTTTCGTGGAAAACTGGAGTCGAAAAGTCCTGAACCATTTTTTTTTATAATGAAAAAAATTTGAAGCCATTTTTTTCTTCTATAATGCGAAAAACTTTATTTTGCATTAAAAATCATATTTCTTCCGTTAAAAGCGTTTCCTTAAAGAAAATTTCGTCAAGGAGGTTAAAGGTCGGTGCTTATTGGCGCAACTTTACTCAATAATTACCGCTTTATTAAGCATTATAGAAAAAAATGTTTCAGGACTTTTCGACTCAGTTTTCCACGAGGAATATCGCTATACAGAATGTATCTTAAAAAGCTCCCACTAAGCAAATAGCGTTATTCCTGATTAAAAACCGAGTCGAAAAGTCCTGAACTATTTTTTTTCCAAGATTCATTAAATAATTAATTAGATTTAAGTATTAAAAAGATTTCTGAAAAGATGAATTGTTTAAAAATTAATAAAAATATATTTAATAATTAACAAAACAGTTTATTTTTTTGCTTATCCAAATCTTCATATGTTGATAACGAGGAAATTTGTCTTTTTATTGGCGCGACTTTACTCATTAATTACTGCTTTATTAAGCATTATGGAAAAAAATGGTTCAGGACTTTTCGACTCGGTTAATCAGGAATAACGCTATTTGCTTAGTGGGGGGGGGGAACTTTTTAAGATACACCCTGTATAAATAATGGGCGCCAATTAAGTGACACCCTGTATAATTGTAAGCGAGAAAAGATTCTTGAAAATTCGAAATTAGCTTCTCTTTTTTCCTTACTAATTTCAAATCTGAACTTTAAATTGACAATACATACTTCAATACACATAAGATGTCAACTAATATTTAAATTAAATAACGATGATAATATTATGATTTAATAAGAATAATAATAATATTTAAATTAAATAATGATAATAATATGATTTAATAAGAAGAGAAATTTAATTATATTATTTATATTAATTATATTTGCGCTCTTTTGTAATAGATATGTCTTGTATAATTTATTAAGATACTCAAGTACAAATATCCCGGAGAGGACCGGTCGTCGGAGAATGTCACGTGTGACGGCGGCGACTACCTCGCGCTGCTGGAAAACGTGAACGGGAAGGTCCTCGAGATCTCCAAGTTCTGCGGCAGCGGCCGAGTGCCGCGCATCTATTCGCGCGGGAGGAACGTAATCCTGGAGTTTTTTGCCCGGAAGGACGGCACCGTGACGCACGACGGTTTCCAAGTGACCCTGCAGGAAGAGCGCGTCTCGCAAGAAACGAAACACGCGAGATGCGAGTTCGTGTACAGGAGCTCCCGGCGTAACAGCAGGGAGAACATCAGGTCCCCGCGGAGCTGGTATCCGCCTAATACCGTATGCACTTACAAGTTTCTCGGTAGAACTACGGAAAGGGTCTCCGTTCACATAAAGATTCTCAGAAACGAGCTTGAGCACGAAAAATCCGAGACCAAGCGAAACTTTAGCCTCAACCATTGCCCAGGGAATGAAATCACTGTTTATAACGGAGGGCAGGTAATTGATTCGGCTAACTTTATTTATACTTTAATCAGTTTTTCAAGTTACATAACAAGCGTTTGTAAAAATTCATCCGGCAAGAGAGTCAATTCCTAATCTTTAATAATTCCTAACAATACGTCTTAATTATTAAATTTCTTCAAAATAAAATAATTTCTTTTAAATAAAAAAAGAATTGGCTGCAAAACAATCAAATTTTCTTTTATTATTTTTCATTCATGTATCTATATAATTATCAATAATATATTATATAATAAAAATACATGAATAATATAATAAAAAATACACGTGAAAAATAGTGAAATATAATAAAAAATATATAAATGAAAAAAAGAAAATTGGATGCTTTACGGTCAATTTCTTTTATTTAAAAGGATTAAAAAATTTAATAATTAATAAAAAATGTATCATATAAATTCTTAATTAACTTTTCAAAATTTATTTATTTGTTTTGACAAGATTATCCTATTGAGTTCTGAACGACTGTTTTAAAAATGAATGTGACGACTGTGTGTTTGAAAAATCGACAACAATTTGCCCAGGTGAACGGCAGCTTCCTGATGTGGTCCTATTGCGATGTATCTCACTGGGACATCAACAACATTCAAGTACCTTTGACGTCTAGTGGAAACGAATTATTGATCCAGTACTACAGCGCCAAAGGGTCCTATGATGGTCAGGGATTCACTTACGCTGTGTCCTACCGATTTGTCAAAAAGGAGCAAAACTACACCGGTATGAAGCGCAAATATAAATCGATCTCGTTGAGGCCCGTCAATCTATCTACTCTCAACCTCAATGACACCGATGCCGATTACGAATGCGACAATAGAATCGGGACGTTCAAAAATTGGTTCGCGGTACTGATGGTCTTTGGAGTGGTGTCCTTCGTCGGGGCTGTTGTCACGATAGTCACCCTAACAGCCAAATGCTTGAAGATCAGATCGGCCGAGAAGAAACTCTTGCAAAATACAAAACAATAAAATCGAAAGGTTTCACGTTTTCCTTCTCCCTCTCTCTTTCTCTCGCCCTCCACCGATTAATAATGCAACTAAAAGCGATCTCAGGAATTCGTTTGAGAGACGGAGATACTGGAAATCTTGAAACTTGAAATCTCGCGTTGAAATGGCAAAAATAAAATCCACTGAGGTCCCACCGAGACTTGAACTCGGATCGCTGGATTCAGAGTCCAGAGTGCTAACCATTACACCATGGGACCTTGGTACTTTTTCTACGAACAATTAAATGGCACATGTAAATATTTGCGAAAAAAATATCACGAGAAGCTATCGAGAGGCGATTAGACGCGTCAACGACTCTCGATAAAGAGACCAATGTAATATCGTGTCAAGGTTTTCTTGACATATATCACGACAAAAAAAACTTCCCTCTTCCTGATAAATGCAGAATAATGTACAACTATGTATACCGAACTGAATTTTTATACGTAATATAAGAAATAATGACTCCTAATAAAGTACATGTAAAATAAACAGAAGAGAAATGGATAAAATTATTAATTACTAATTTTAATAATTATACATGTGATACTCTTCTTCTTTTATTCTATTATTTATTATATTTATATATTCCACGTGGGAAGATCTCATTATCTAATATATTATATCTCACTGAGAGAAAGAAAACTACTTATTATTTTTAAATTAATTGGGTATTTTAGGTATTTAAGATTTTAACGGTATTAAATAAGAAAAATCAAGTTATTAAGAAGCAATAAGATAATTATTTGTGAAGTAAACAATATTGCAAAAGAAGATACATTTTTTTTCTTCAATAATACAGATAAATTACTTGGATATGGAAGACACGTGCGGCAACCCGTTATACATACACATATTGCATATCGATTGTTGCATATCACGAATTTCTTGCAAGCCTAAAATTTCTTATGCAAAAAAAATACAAAAGGTACATTCAATAATTATTAGACTGAGAAAAATTAAAAAAACGCTAATGTTAGTTGAAAATTTTTCAATTAATATACAAATGCAAGGACTATAATCGCTCATTTATTTAGCATACAAGTGTCTTCTAATAAATAATTTCCACAAGTATAGATTTTACAGATTCATACAAGAACGAAAAGAAAAACTTGAATTATATAAAACACAATTTTTTAAATATATAACACACTCTACATGAATTTTTTAAATATATAACACTCTATATGAAAGAAGATTCGGGTATCCTGTTCGTCGGTAACGTTACCGACTGTGTTACCGACGGTGACTCCTGCCTCGCGCCTGCGCAGCGCAGCGGTAACGGACAGCGCCTCGTGTTGTGCACGCGTTAGGAGCAAGGTGTTGGAGCAAGGAGATAGCGGTCTACATATACCTCTGTGCATTGCCTTTGGCGATACTCGTAGAACGAAGATGGCCGGCCCGGGAAACAGCGACGCCGGTTGTTGCTCGGTCCTGAAGAAGTTCGGCTTGCAACCTGTCACGCGATGCAGCCTCGCCAAGTTCTACGCGCCGGCATTCGGCGCCGTCTCGTATACCGCGATGTCCATCAATGTCATGAATCCGAGTCTCGTCATCAAGTAAGTAGACACTCCGTACATTCCGGCTATTTTGTTACGTTTATGACGTGTATAATATACGTCGCGTAATGTTAATTTAGTGACGAGACGAAATAACCTGACAGCGAATTTCTTTTTTTCTCTCTCTCCCTCTCTCTCTTTCCTCCGCTTATTATTACGTAATTATGATCGCATGCAATTGTTGCGTGCGTTGCGATAGATGAATCTTTGATCTTAACGCGAATCTTTGATCAAAACAGACGTAGCTATTTATGGCAGAATAGAAAAACGAATAAAACAAAACTAGAGATTTAAGAATTTGAAGATTCAAGAAGTAAAAATTTTAAAGATTCTAGTATCAAAGATTTAATTATGAAAAAAATGAAATTTTTTATTTTTCATTATCATATCGTAAAAAGAAAAAATAGTAAATAGTGTTGTTTATTTTTTTCAGAGTATTTCCAAAGAGGGATATTACAAACGTCCTATTGATTGGTACTCTAGTTGGCACTGGATCGTACATCTACACACGTGAGCATTTAAAGAGTGCACCACAGACTGTTAGAATTTTATACAGGTGAGAATTGACATTGATGTACAAACAAACACAATATATTTATCATAAATTTCTTATTTGTCGAATTTATCTTTTAGTGCTACTGGTGCGTTGTTGTTGAGCTTGGGATCAGTTTTAATGTGGGCAGTAATACGTTCCGTAGTGCCACCAAGTCCAGCTTGTTGTACGATAGCTGGTATCGGCACTGGAGTGGCGCTTCTCAAAATTGGCTCGAACTATCTCGAATTTGTTGATAAGCAAGTAGTGAAAAAGTAGGCTGTTGTTGTTATATGCTTTTTCCTTTTTGTATTTCAAATTTGTATTTTAAATTATTACGAGAGGAAATTGAACAAAACGTATTGGAATCTTAACGTGTTGAATTTTGACTGAAATTGCTACAAGCGCAGATTATGTGAAAGTATATCATTCTTTTCACTAAGAATTTCGCATTTACGTGAAAGATTTCTTCCGAAAAAAGGAGGAATATAAGTCAATATTTTCATGAAAACTCAAATTGTCACATTGCACAAACTTGCGCAATTCTAGTGTAGGAGAATTTTTTTGCGTGCTAGCGAATGTGTTAAGCATTTGCTATTTTTTTCCCATCACATCACAATGATAATGTTACCGATATTTGATAAATTGCTAACTAGATATATTTGCAAGATGCACGCACTTGGGGAACTTAGAGATATCCCGCATAATTCGGAGGCGTTAAAAAACCGAAAAATACGTGCGTCATATGTTTTGTAAACTATACAGCATTCACATAAGAATGCAGCGTCATGTAGATAATGTCACCATAAATATATACGGATACACGAATCATGTGTGACACGAATTCAAGTCTATTGAAAAAAAGGAATCACATTTAACACTTATCCTGTCCGAAATTTTCATCGACATCTTTTCTTTTAAATTCCTGTTATAAAAATAAGATACATATAATATCCAAATCAGTATAAAAATTTGTATTATAATTAATAAATTGCGCGAATTATCCTAGAACTAATTCAAAATACACGACAATCTTTAGATAAATTTCTTTGTTTTGATCAAGAAAATTTGAAAGTATATATATATAAGAATTGAAAATGTTGAAATTTATGAGACTCGCTTATTATTATTAAGCTTATTATTCCTCCTTGTTGCTCGTTTTATTGAAATATGTTTGTTTTGTCGAGCTATTATCGTTTGTTTATGCGTATTATTGCACTCGGTGATGGAGGCAAGCACCGAGTCAGATAAGAGAGGTCTCTGAACAAATGTAAACAAACGACTCGCTGTTATATTATACGGAAACGAGTCAATCTCTCTAACGCGCGATTTTTAGTTGTCACTCGTATCACAAAGAAATTTGGTCTTTTAATCAAGACCAATTATATTAATTAAATAAATAATAAAACTAGTATGCGTCGATAGTTTCAAAATCGCACATGCGAAATGCGAAAGCCCGCATCCGAGTCTCAGGGTCGTTTTTCAACCATGACGCGCATCCTGTCCGCCAATCGCAATTAAATGAAATTGACACGAAGGCTCGGAGCTTGATATCTTATCCTGTGACACTGTGTTCGATGTATCTGTTATAAAACATTGAAATTATGCGATAATTTATTTTATTATTTTTTTGAGAGGATATCGAAATTGAAAGTCAAAAATGGCAACGTTTTACCGACATTTTTTTATACAGAGTGTCCTTCATCTTTTACAAACTCTTCGTCAATTTAGAATAAATTTTCCCCTAATGAACGTTGAACGTTAAGTGCCGGCATTTTTGAAAAATCAAATTCAATGGATAAAACTTTACTTTTCATTTATAATGCAAGACTTTATAAGTGCTTAAAATACAGAAAATTAATAACTTGTGACATACGCGACATATATATATAAAATGAATTTTTTTCAACATTTTTATTTGAAGAAACACTCATTGCATAATTGCAGATAGAAAACACTCGCTAGGACAAGGACACCCTGTATATACGCAGATGTGACCGGCAATATGGTGCCTCGTCGTGCTTTGTTGCAGTCGCTATTGTTTTATCGCATCGCAGACAATGATACAGCATGCTTTCCAACAATAGTCTCGATGCGAAACCCGACGATGATTACACGAAAGCATTTCGCTTCAAGGATGAAGGGAGTTTGAAAAACGCACATGGCGATTTGTTTATTATGATAATAATTGAATCGCGAAGAGAGAAAATCGCTGAAAAATGAGATTTATCAATTTACTTTTTAAGATATGATAATTAATTGCCTTTTGATATAAAAATTACGCCGATTCCTCTACAAAATACATGATAAATACTTGAGAAATTATGGTATTTAAAAAAAAATCTATCGATCTATTCAAATGCGGGTAGAAAAAAGTCTAACACTCGTGATAAAAAAATATTTCTATAATTTATTAAAATTTCTTATACAAATACGACGCAATCTATCGAATTATTAGAAAACTAGTGAATCTGCTCTGTCTGTAATAGGTTCAGCGTCTGCAATTTTTTTTTTGCGCAATTTTCATTGGGAAAAAAATACTTTGCCCGATGTTGACAATAAATACTTTCGATATTTGCGCGAAGTTTCATTAAAGGCACTTAATATATATATATATATATATATATATATATATATATATATAATATATATATATATATATATATATTATATATATATTATATATATACATATATATATATATATATATAATATATATATAATCAAACACTTATCTATTATCATATTCAAAAATACATAAAAAATAATTACTGTATCGAGATCCGAACAATACATCTATATGAAAGCCCTCATTCATCGTAAATCTTTGAGCGAGAAACTCTTCTGCAGTTAACGAAATACGTCAAGAATCCACTAACACTTTCTTTTTTTTTCGTCAACGTACAGTTTTCAATCGGATCGGCGATAAAAGAACATATTTCTCTGGTCGAATATACGTATATAACATGCAATACAAGTCTTTCATTGTCGCATCATGTCTGGAACAGAAAATCAATCACACACAATCAACAGATCCACGCACTTAAAAGGATGCATTAACTCTATCATTTCCTCGGCTTCGATTTCGGTTTCCATTTTGCCAAAATGGGCGAAAAAAAATCATTGAGAAACGTCTCTCTGTCCTTAGCAAAGAGGGGTCCTCGATGCAAATTGAATCTCTTGCCGAAGAAGTTCCAACGTGGAACTTGCGCAAGTGCAGGTCGATCCCTAACTATGATGAGGATGCAACGTGCTGGTCTCGTTGATATCCCTCGATCGTATCGTCGTCGTGGATGTGAGAGCGTTGGAGAGGACCTCGGCGATGCTGTCGGTCACTTTGTCGATCGCGTTCGTAACCAGATGCTTGTGATCGTGCTCGTGCTCGTGATCGTGATCGTGGTCGTGATCGTGGTCCTCCTCCTCGTCTCCGTGACCATGACCGTGATTGTGGCTGTGTGAATGAGCGGCTACAAAAAAAAAGCGTGAAAGCTTGAAATATTTTTCTTTCTTGAAGAGTTCTAAAGATTACATAATTTTAATTTTTTTTTTTTTTTTAAATCAAGTTACGGACGGAATATTTTATAACATTTTATAACTCGCGATAAAATTCAAGACGGAATTCTATTTATAATTTTATGTGCGGTGTATCTTAATAGACGTGTGCATTTCCTTGACATGTGTTTTTTGCATTACGTGACCAAAATTATAAGAAGAATTTTAAAGCTTGTCTAAAGAAGGCTTTAGAATATATTAAAATAAAATGAGCTTGCTTTTATTTGTCTCTACAATGTTTATTTCATTCTTCTCGAAAATGCATTTTCGAAATAACGTGTCGTATAAAGCATAATTGACCGTGATATAAATATTGTTTCATTAGGCTCAACTAGCACCGGCTGAAACCTAATTAACAATAATAGCCTGGTACGGATCGCTCCATCGAATAAGTGTCTAAAAGAAAGTTTTATCTCTGTAATAACGGTCGACAATTCTAATCAGTTCGCCTCGATATTATCAATTATCTAAATTAATAACAATATTAATTGATAATAAATCATTAAAATCCTCTCGAAATAATGGACTGTTTTTTTCTGACGGATTTAAATACGTATAGATTGAATAATTCATCGTGTATCTGATTGCGCGCCGTCCGTTTCCGTTCTGTCCTGTATATCCTGCTTATTTCCGCCTCGTAATTGCCGCGCGTGGGCACAAAATTCTCGAAATGACGTTCAAACGGACGGCGGTGATTTCGTCATCACGAAATGCGTCAAACCTGCGTCCGAGAAAGCCGTCGAAAGTCGGTCGTATCGTCCATCGACCTACACGTCCCCGGGTCATTGCCATTGGGTGGAGAGAGAAAGCCCCAAGATATACATAACGGGTCGATCTTTTACGAGAGATCGATCCGAATCTGTCTCTTGAGCAGACGACGGCTGTTTGAATTAATACGACACAATGACGTCGGTTCCTTCCCGGCGCTCGTTACGTGCAAAAAAAAAAGAAGGACGGCAGTACGCGTCTCGGAAGAAGTGGGTTGTTGCCGCATGCAATTTGCCAATCATATGGCAGCCGACGCGAGTTGTGTAAAAGTTCACGTCCCGCAGTCACGTAGGAGTAACACGCGAAGCTCGTGTAATTTACACAGGATAAATGCTCCAATAGACCGTTTAATAGATATTACAGTAGGGAGATTGGAAGTCTCTCTTATTCTTTCGGAATAAAAATAAAAATAGAAATATAAAGTTAATATTTGGATTATTAATTAATATTCCAAATTAATAAATTGCATAATATGTACAAATATTATTTATAGAGAAATATATTTTTATATATAAAATGTAATATATATATATATACAACATTTAATATTACATTTTAAATGTATGAAAATAAATAGTATTAATAAAATATTAAAAGTATTAATAATATTAATAAAAAATTTAAAGAAAGTATTAATAATATAAATAAATAATCTATAAATAATATTTATATATATTATGCAATTTATTAATATAATTTGGAATGTTAATTAATAATAATTAATATTTTAAATATTAATTTAACATATTTTTTTTACTTTTACGTTCTTAATGATTTCATACAATAAATCTCTTTCTCCCTCTCTTTCTCTCTCTCTTTCTCTCTCTCCTTTCTTTCTCATAAAAGATATTGTGTAACAACGAGTTTTGAATTGCGACTGAATTTTGCGTTCGCGCACTCTCGTGAGAAGGTCAGAATGCAATTAAGATTATGTAATAGCAAGTGGTCTATCCGCGGAGAGGTAATCGTTATTACGATCCATCTCTCCCCCACTTGCTGTTACTTTCTCGATGAAATGACAGTCGTGCATTTATTGGATATGTTAAAGTAATAGACCATCGTGCGCGTGCGAATAAATATTTTCGCACGGATGCGAAATACGCATCAAAAGTAGTCCGAGCGTCACATCAATCTTATTTACATTAGGTCTCAAACTTCCTCCGGAAAATATCCGTAATTAATTAATTAATTTTTTTTAAGTTGAAGACTCCCTTGCACAAACAGAGAGATGAAATATTTTTCATCGTATTTTTTTTATCGCTTCATATATTAACGTTTAATTTACTTTTTTGTATTGATCACGATGTCTAAAATGAGAGTGATTCATAAGAACAAAAATGAATTCTCTTGACAAATCTCGAAGCGGAGGCATTATTTTAATATAAGAGCACACGCGAAACACAAAAACACGTGCATCATACAAACAATACGCTTTGTTGAAATTGACTTGGCGTCAGTTTATCAAAGCTATTAATCTTATTTGAATCGAAATAACAACGAAACAACGTGAATTATTATAGGTGTTTATTAGCTAGTCATCGTCTCGAGATTGACAAATATATTTTAGTGTTCTACATATTTGTATACATGGATATATGTACTCCCCCCCTACAGTTGTGAGTCTTAAATAAATCGTCGGTTTAATTATGATACCAATGTTTAACGTTATAACGCCTCGATAAGATCTCGCTTTCGCGACATTAAGCTCTTTAAACGAAATAGCGTTGCACGCAACGAGGATGTTGCCACCAGTTCTCGGCTTCGTAATTTATCCTGACCCTGACTTTTCAGTAAGTTGTAAGTTTCTCGGCAAATCGATAGATTAAACGAGAACTAACACGTGAAATGTATCAAGGACGTACCCGTAATAGGTTTGCACCGATGCGAACGATCCTGCCGAAACCGACTTGGCGATAACTATTACGAATAATCAGCTGGACGCGGATGACGTAAGAAGACTCGCTCGAGGCGCAAATAGTAGATCCTCGTATTACAACTCGGCAGTTTTCGTATTGATTTACACTTTAGATCTTTGAATCTCTCTCTTTACATTCATCTCAAAAGAGAAAGATTCCTCGCTCAATTATATCATGAAATTTTTCACTATCTTTGTACAATAATCTCTGATAAGTCAATAGAGTTTATTTTTATATTATCTTTGATTGAAATTGTTGAGATAAATCTTTCTCATCTTGTTGATGAAGTGAAGAAATATGCCTTTCAGATAAAATTGCCAAGAGATCGAATATATTCGCGATTGAGAAATAATGAAGAAAGTCGAGCTCGCTTATCGTAAACGGTGATTTCAATCTGGAAAGATACGAGTTACCCAAGAGTTTATTTTTGCATTATCTTTGATAAATTTGAGATAGATCTTCCTTAAACATCTCATCGAAACGTGAAGAAATATATACTTTTATAGATAAAATTGTAAATCAAATATATTCGCGATTGAGAAATTATCCAAGATAAGATAATTACTCCTTATCTAGTAACTCACGCACATCATCGTCGCGTGAATCCGAAATGAGAAAATCGAGGAGGAAGAGATGCCTAATGGACGGACTTTCACCCTCAGTGGCAATAAATTTGCGATTCCGCGTTCGGGAAGACACGCGGAAATTCGCGCGATCACGCGAGATGCCGAAGAGGAAAAGCGGAAACGCGCATGATGACGATAACACGAGTCTATCCGTCCCGGTCACGTCACGTTCCGATGCGCTTTTCTTCCGGGAAAGCAACTCACTGGCAATTTGCAGGCCCAGCATCAGCGTGAAGCCGACGATGATCGCGACCAGCTGCAGCAGGCCGCTCTTCTCGTTCGCTCTTTCACGTGCCAGCACTTCGAAGAACACCACGTAGAGCAGGGTACCGGCTGCCATGCCCTGCAATATGGTTGGCGTGGTTCCCAGATTTTCGCTGTCATTCTTCAAGTGACCCAGCGCTAGTCCGATTCCGATCCCAATCGGCGTTACCATGGAAAAGATGGACAGATATCCGAGGGTCGCTCGCGTGGACGCACCGGCCACGTAGAGCTCCATCCCGACGCAGAAGGAGATGACCAGCTTGTGGGTTGCGATGGCGGCTGCTAGATAGACGACCGAGCTGATGGACGGCTCCAGGCCTACCGCCAGGCCCTCGAATATCGCGTGAAAGGATAACGCAAGCACGGTCAGCAGACCTTGTATCGAAGTGTTCTGCGTTATCGTGCCATGTTGATGATGGTGATGATGATGATGATGGTGATGGTTGTGATTATGATGATTATTATGTTGATGATGGCGATGATCCTGATGCTTGATTGGCTGGTAATTTAATTCCGACATCGCCAATTCTGGATCCGAATGCTTCTCGACTTGATGTCCTTCGCTCGATAACGCGGAGGATAGGACGAATATAGCCGGCAGGACCTTGTCGTCCTTGCCCACATTTTTTTCATTGCGTAATTCATCGAGCTGGATCCTGGATCGTTCCAAGTCGGCTCTATTCTCCTCGTCGTCGTCGTCCTTCCACGCGGTAGATCTTGTCATCGTCGTGGATACGGTGGTAGTCGAGCCGCTCATCGTCGACGGGCCCGTCTGATTGTTGTTACATCTGCGCACCGATACGGTTCGATAGAGCAACGCCTCCGAGGACTCGGGTTTACCGGTGAGGGCTGCGTGCACCGCCTCCTCGACCAGGTAGACCAGAAAGAAACCACCGCAGAAGAGCAACTCTGCCAAACCGAGGGTGCCCAGGGTCGGTAGCTGACCGTTTGATTGGTGTCTCTCGACGCTTTCGCGCACTTCCGGTGCCAGATGCAGGAACGTTGTGAACAGGAGTACTCCGCCGCCGAAGCAAAGCAACAGCGATGTCAGGAGACCCTAGGGGACGATTTGTCGTTTGCTAAGGGTCGTAGGATAAGAGTACCCAGATATGCCAATTTACAGATTTCTACGGACTCTCCGACTTTTCTGAATCGATTTTTCTTTAGAGAGAAGGCGACAATTTTGTTATTTCCTTTACTTAAATACTTTGTGAGACACAAATTTTAGAATTTGCAAATGTGAAAGAATATTATTGTTTATTTAAAATGATAAATTTCTTTTTTAATATTATATATAATATAATTATTTTAATTATTACTAGTCAATTTCAATGTTTCTTAATCTTTTATTATAATGTAAAATTTCTTATATTTTATATTAACATTAGCAATCAAAGAATATATATCTAATTTTTACCAAAATCATCAATTGGCGAATTTTTGAAAAAAATATTTTATTTATTATTAATTTTTAAAATTTTTTCAATAGTTTTTAGTAAAATGTTTTTAATATATTTCATATGTATTTTTTCTTTGTTGAAGCAAAAAGAAAATATATCTTTCACTAATAGGCGTTTATCGCTCGAGTTTTAGTGAAACAAAAGATGCAATTTTCCTGTTGTTATCGAAATACCGTATTTTATATTTAGAACAAATGAGCCGTGTATAATATTGAGTTGGCTTATTTATAAAAAAAAATATACATATAGTATTTCTTTGAAAAATTTCGTCCTGAATCCTATAAAAATCAATATAAAAATGTAAGGATTATTTACTTAAAAATTTTACTTGCATTCACTTCTAATTAGATGCATATATATTAAGACTGGTAATTTATTTTAAAGGCTTTGAAAATTCGAAGCTTTAAAATAATAAATGCGAGGCAGTAAAATCTTCGAAGATTGAAGAATTAAAATTGGAAACATAATTACTCATTTATAATAGTAATAGTATATCGCAATACATATTTATAAAATTATATGATAATATCCGAATACAATTTTTAATACTGCAATTATGTCATTAAATTGAAAAACATGTTGAAAAAATTGTGATTTCCTATAAAATATTAATAAATATTTATGTAATTTATTCTTAAATACTATTTAAACAAACTAGCATTACGTCATATAATTTTTAACAGAATTATAATTAAAAACTACACAATATAACTCAAAAATATATATATATATATATTTATAGGTTTTCATTCTTTATATATTCTGTCAGCCAATTCGAAGAATTGTATAAATAATTGCAATTCATATTTATATTATAATTTATTTGGGAAATATGTGTTTAACACAAATAGCTTTTCATTCATAATACATATAATTGTATTGTGTATTGTGTAATTTATTATTTTATTAATATTTTATTATTTTAGATGCGAAATAATTATAACTAAATAATATATAATGATTATAAATAATATGATTTACTTTAATTTATTTAAAGTAAATATATCATATTATGCCATTAGTTTTAGATTAGCAATTGCTAAAACTATTTGTCCAATATTATAATCTAATCTTAATATAATTTAATATTATTTAATAATATTAATGAAAAATATTATGCGATAAATAAAAAGAAATAATTCTTGATAAATATATATTTTTTAAATAAGTTAAAATATAAACATGAATTGCAATCTTTCAAATTAGATGATAAAATATATACTTAAAACAACAGCAAGTTGAGCATAAATATCAACACATGTGACATGTTTGATAATTTGAAAACGAGAATATTTCTGAAAACTAACTTTATGTTTATTCAAAAGAACGCATCGCTTGACTTTATTTAAAACTTTTTTATATATGTAATATTTCACGTCATAATTCTTCAAAATTATAATTTAGGAATAATTACTATTTTTTACATTTTTTGAGTATATATATTATCTAATTCTTTTTATTTACGATTTTTTAGCGTTCCCTGAATAAATTTACACGAATGTATTTTTTAAAGCTTCGAAGTTGTTCAAAAGTAACAGTCCTAATACGATATTTGTAGCCAAATGACTAAGAAATCGATAAATTTCAGATAATTTTAGAGAGTCCGTAGATGTGGATTATAAAATATCGAGTACTTTATATATCAATCAGCAGCTACTCCGGATGTGTTCTGATTATTTCACGACCAGCAGTCTCACATTATTTACAAACGAAAAGAAATAAACATTTCTCTTGCAGAGGTGATTGTTCTACTTCTGACTTCTCGATCAAATATATATATATTTGTCGAGTACATCATCTTTACGTCGTTTCAATGTTTACGTTACGCTAATTTTTGAAATCGTAACATATATCCGTGAAATATTCGAAATCCACGAAATTCGTAAATTTAAATTAACGCAAAAATGACTCGCGTGCAGCACAGAAATATCCAGTGAATATCCAAGGATATCTACTGCCGTCGAGAATAAATATCCAAGGACGTCCACTGAATGTACTCCGTTTCACGTCGATTATTTTCCCGCTAATTTAAACGTTTGTCCGACATTTCTCGAGCGAGTCGAGTAGAAAGGCGAAAATTTCCGGAAATGCTGCTGCGAATCGATTCAAGAGAATCATCCGGGATTCATCCGAGGGGACTTCCGCTCGCTTTTTCTCAAACGTACTTGTTTGTCCGCCGCGGAGGTCGAGCCTTCGACGTCCGGCAAAGACGCCGAAGTGGACGTGCTGAAACGATCAGAGGAGATCGGCTGGGAATGTTTCCGGAGTCGTTTCTTGGCCCTGTAACGTCCTACGATCATCGGCAGGATTCCCAGCACTAGAGAACCGAGACCTAGGCCGATCATCGCGCCGATCTTCGACATTAGAAGGACGCTGGACGTCGTGTCTTCCATAGCGTTTTAAAATATCGATAATAACGATACAATCAAGATCGTATCTCGACGAAAATAACTTGAAATCTTCACGTGTGTACGTGTGCGTCTCGACAAGAACTTCGCAACTACGGTGCACCGATTATCTCGTCACCACTTCACCACCTCTCTCTCTCTTCTTGCCTTCTCGTCGACGACTAGACTCATCTCACGCTCCGTTCCCCGGTCTTTTCGACGAGCTTCGGCAACGCGCAAAACAACAAAAATCGTCGGCCAGGACTCGACGAAGCGAGCCGCTCGAACGAGGGAATTCCACGCGCCGCGACAGCCGATCAAACACTATCTACTCCGGTCTCGACTCGACGGGAACTCGGCTCGATCGGACCCCTCGGCCGCCGCCTCGTCGTCTTACATAGTCCGAGCCGAGCCGCTTCCTGCCCACTCCCGCAACGGCTACGTCCCGTCCTTATCCAACCGTTAGCGTGAATGTGTACACGCTCGCTCTAGCACCTGGACTGGTGACTGATCGCTCAGTGGCGTAAAATCAACGGTGGATTCCGAGAGGAAGGGAGGATCTCTCGCAGAGGCCCGTGTCGGAGTACAAGAGGGAAAGATGAGGAGGAAAAATTGAAACGAAATAAAAATAAGAAAAGAGGAGAAGGAAAAAGAGAGAGACTAGAAGCAAACGATGAGAGATCAAAAACAAAGAAATTAAAGACAAGATGTACGATGTGGAATTTATCATTTCGTATATCTCGGCGACAATCTCTTTATGTTCTTTTTTTAAGTGTTTAACGATATACTTATCAATGTTAATTAAAAGAGGAATGAAAGATAATCAATATCGATAACGAAGATTTCATCGGTGATTTAATAACTTCAACAATTGTCTCATTCGAAGAGAGGATGGATGCTCTCCCGAGATGCCTGATTTTCCACCCTTCGCGGGATGGGGCACCCTAAACACCGGTCACATCGCTGCGACAATTTTATGCCTCATAAGCGACAACGCATAACGTATCCGCGCGTAGGCGCGTGTACAATACGCGTGAATGAAAGAAGTCGTCGACGACACTCGTCTGCGTAGGGGACACGCGTGCAGACGTCGCCTACGTCACGTCGTGATAAACATTTGCATTGCCGATTGGAAGATGAATCTTCCAAGAGTGTAAGCACAACGAGAATGAGAGGAAGGCGAGATTAAAGAACGCTAACACGAGAGAGGAAATTGGAGGATCCTCGAATCAACCCTTCGACTCCGAAGAGGATTAATTTCCATTTTATGAACATAAATTTCTCCTTTCAATTTAATCCCATTTAATTCGCAAAGCGTGTTGAGATACGGATGAGAAAATATAAGAGGCACGTTGGTCGCTTTCGAAGCAAAAGGCGTGAATTTAGCCTGGCGATGTGGGCCAGCGACGTGATCACGCTACCCGGTGATTATTCACCAGGCTCCGCGATACTTTCACCCTCCTGCGCGCGAAAAAGCGAGAGGATATGCCGCTCGTTTGTTTCGGACGCACCATTGAACGATCCGCGTTCAACGAGCCGTGGAACGAGATCTCGTGGAATCGAGATCTCGATCAGGCACGAGCGGGTGTGCTCCCTGTGTATGTGTGTTTCATTAATCGTTAATGTTATACGATAAAGAAATCGAGCCGCGCCATTCACTTTCGCGATTTCAGGGTTTTTTTTTTCTCTACCCTTTCTCTTGCACGATCGCGAAGCATGAAGGACCGCGCGAAAGAAACATCCCCTTCTTCCTCTTGACTCACGTGGGCAAAACAAAAATAACGGTATCTTCCAGCAATGATGAGAAAAACTTTTCCAAGTCGACCTCGCATTATGAATCACCATCGACAGGATGTCCTCTGCATCCCACGCGCCGCATTCTCTTTTCTTTTTCTCCCTCTCCACCTTCTCCGCTCCCCCTCATTTTCTCTTTTGCGACTAGTTAGCGATGCTCATTTCAAAGGTTGGCCTCGACATGCGTGTTTGCTCTTTCTCTCTCTTTTGATAGAGAAAAAAAGAGAAAAAGAGTCGCGATAAGTGACTGTTGACCAGCAATTAATTGCTCGCTGACAATTGATAAGTGCCGACCGTCGCCTTTGACCTCGGCCATGCTCGAATCATCCTTGTTTTCAAGATTCAATCTTAAAGTTTTCCCGTTTTTCCCCGCATCTCTTTATTTTTAATCGTTCACTTTCGCACTTGAATTTGTTTATGTAAAATGTATTTATGTATATATATATGTTTTATATATATTTTAAGATTTTCAATTATTAATATATATAATTAATTAATTATATATTATATTAATTATTATATTAATTATTATATAATTATATAATTATTAATATATATATATATATATATATATATAATATTAATATATTATTTTAGAAAGAGAAAAGAATGTCATATCTATTAGTAAATTAAAAAAAACCTCTTCATCAACCAGGAATTAAATCGGTCTTAATCAAAAGTTCATAAAGTTAACTGATTATCAATTATGTGATAATAACTACTGTTTTAGCGTCTTATCTTATTTTTTTGCCAGCAACTAATCTTTCTTTTGTATCGTATTTTAATTTTTTTAAATGACTATATGTATTCCAGGAAAGATCGAATGTATTTTTTTAGCTATCTAGTCACGATAAGTACACAAACACTACACACACACACACACACACACACACACACACACACACACACACACACACACACACACACACACACACACACACACACACACACACACACACACACACACACACACACACACACACACACACAAACACACACATACATATATATATACATATACATATATATATATATACATATATATACATATGTACATATATATATATATATATATATATATATATATATATATCTTATCATGATATCATCTTATTTGTACTTATCACGATTAGATTATTTCAATTGAAAAATTATATTCAATCTTCTCTCTTGAAGAATGAAACAAAATAAAAATATATACATATACATATATAAAATATACATATATAAAATATATTTATAGTCTTGTTTGTACTTCGTGACTTGATTGCTTTCAAATACATAATATTCTTATCTATTAAAATTCTCATTGTTTATTCATTGAAAGAATTTATTCAAACAATGTGCATGCATAATGTGAACGAAGCGTGGAACTAGAGCATTTATTTTTAGCGCTAAAAATCTCACTTTTTACATCTGACGATTATCATTGAACTATGCTAGACTGTTTAAAGTAAGATAAAATTGTTTGTACTTACTCGACATCTGCAGACCAAACATGACGAGGAAACCGAAGAGAATCGAGACGTATTGCCACAATCCGGTTCGATGTTCCTGCAGAATCTCGAAGAACACCACGTAGAGCAGGGTACCTGACGCCAATCCCTGCGAAGATATAAAAATAAATATATTTTCTCTCATGCTCGTGCATTACGTAATTTTGTCTCTCGATTAATCCGCAGATAAATGGATTTTTTGACGATTATTCGCGCCGATAATTCTCAATTATTTCGAAATCCTTTATACATTCCTCAAACGGCAATATTTTTGAAAAAAGTCGAATTGAACCTGTAATATCACGGCCATTGGTCCACTCGCAGCCGCGCTTCCACCACCGACCAGTCCCATCCCGATGCCGATTCCTATCGGCGATACCACAGCGAACGTGCACGTGTAAATCACGGACAGATACGGCCTAGTTCGGGAAGCGAGCAATTCTACGCCGATGCAGAAGGCTATGACGAATTTATGGGACGCCACCGCCAGGAACATGTACCTGCCGAATCGTTAGATTAACATTAATAATAATAATTTAATAATTACAAAAAATTATTTCGTAAATTTTATAAATTATCATCAGAATTATAATTTTAGTTGCAATTAAGATAATAGGATAATTGAGTAATTTTTTATAAAATTTATAAAAAATATAGAAGTAGGAAATATATCTCCTCCTTTGAAGGATATCCTAATTGCAATTGAAATTATAATTCTAGGAATTAAGAAAATTGTAATGAAAACATTACAATTATAATTATTAAATTATTATTAAATTATTAAATTATTAAATTATTAAATTATTAAGTTATTACCATACGTGACTAGCAGAGCTCTCTAAACCGATCGCTAGTCCCTCAAATAGTTCGTGCACGGATAAGCCTAGTACTATTAATAATCCTCTCAGCGAAGTTATCAGAAAATCGTCGTCGGGGTTTGTTATCATCGGCAAATGACTGTGACCCCTGTAAATTAAAAAATCACGTGAAATCCTTTACGCTCGCAAAGTGTCATCATTGCTCGATGCACCATAGAAAATCGACATTTTCACAGTGAGAAAAAAATAGCTTACGTGTGTAAATGACTGTGGTTAACGCATGACGGTGCTATCTGGCCGTTTTCCACCAATTCGTTTGTGCTGCGATGCACGTCTTTCTTGTCACTTATCTGTCGCTCTTTTTGTCTCTTCCTCAGGTACGTGTGTACGGACTCCTCCACCAAATACATGATAAAGAATCTGCGAAAAAGGTTCGTGAAAATTAACTTATTGATACTTCGTTAAAAAATATAAACCCCGACTATTTTATTAAGAAAAAATAAAGAAACAGTAAGAAAATTAATAATATATTATATATACATATATTTAAAATTTGAATATATAAATCAATCTATATATCATGTTTAATAAATTATATAATTTATATTAAAATAATATTATATATTAATATAATAATATATAATATTATATTTTTTAATATTATTTAAATTATTATATATATTTTTTTTTCAATATTATTTATATTATTTATTAATATAACAAATGAATGCATAAAATATATTAATATATATCGTCTAATTATAATTGTATAAAATTAATTGCATGCTCGTAAAATTGCGATTGTATATAGAATGATTGTAAAAATTCAAAGCGATGAGTAATACTTAATTTTTTTTGTTCCTAAAGAATCTTGCACGTCGATAGAAAAATATTCTATCTTTTCTCTAACGCGATTTTTTAAATAATTTTAGCTATGACTCACAATGACATCATAAAGGATCAACTTACCCGACGCATGCGAGCATATATGCCAATGGAAATGGAAGCTCCTCCATCTTACCGGACTCAACGAGATTTCCAACTCCTTCCGCAACTTCCGGCATCAAATGGAGGAACGTTGTGCTGAAGAGGACCCCCCCGCCAAAGCCGAGCAGGAGACTCACAACTTTCGTGGATCTACGCATGATATTTTATTATTTACACACTTCTAATTCAATCGTATTACATCATTGCGAATTTTTAGAACGATATCGGCGAAGTGACACTTGTCGTAATCTCTCAAGCATCATAATAAATATCTCAAACTATTTACTCGCTGTTTCCACGTATTTGCCGTACATGATAAGTAAATTGATAAAACAGTATCAATAGATATATAAATTATTTCCTACTTCTATATTTTTTATAAATTTTATAAAAAATTATTCGTAAATTTCATAAATTATCATCAGAATTAAATACTTAAACAGCGCGATACCAAATGTCTACGAGCTATTACCACGATTTCTAATTTACAGTAAAGT